AGCAAAGCACGGGGACAGGACCCGTGGAAAGAAAGAGCTGCACTTGCGTTGTGAGGAGTGACTGATTATATAAGATGTTCTATCCTGTGGAGGGGAGGGTGATGCTATGGCTCCAGGAAATTGAGTCTATAGGTTTCTGGAGATTGCTTTTTTTGTTGTTGTAAATCATTAAGACAATTGCAAACTGGTGGAGAGTCACGTCCTGCAAGCCCGTGATCTCTATCAGTTAACCACTTGTTTTTCATTTTCCTTTGTTCTTGGGCAGCCAGGAGCGCCTGAGGAATGTCACACATACCCCCCTTGGAGGGAGTTTGTGGGGGTGGGGGTGTTAACTTGTGTTTTACCCTCAGCTTGCCTTTGTTCCCTCATCAGGATTTTTCTGTTTTGCCTCATCCCTCCCAAACCCATTTTCTACATTTTCCATCCAGCAGGTAAACTATATGAATAGTTTCTTTCTCCCGTCTGTCCGCCTTGTCTCTGGCATTGGGTTGTGTTCAACCAATGGAAAACATCTCCAGGAGATCTGGGGACGGGAGAGGAGGGGTCAGGGCATTTATCTGACCTCCTGACCCCTTTGCCAGGGCCACGGTTTTGACAGTGGCTGCATTGCTCCATGCATTGCTCACCCTATGGGTGAGTCTAGAACAGCTCTTGCCAGCTTCGGGGACACTGTTTTCTCTCCTTGCCCCTTGTTATAGAAAACGTTATCTGAGGGGCGCCTGGGTGGCGCAGTCGGTTAAGCGACCGACTTCAGCCAGGTCACGATCTCGCGGTCCGGGAGTTCGAGCCCCGCGTCAGGCTCTGGGCTGATGGCTCAGAGCCTGGAGCCTGTTTCCGATTCTGTGTCTCCCTCTCTCTCTGCCCCTCCCCCGTTCATGCTCTGTCTCTCTCTGTCCCAAAAATAAATAAACGTTGAAAAAAAAATTAAAAAAAAAAAAGAAAAGAAAACGTTATCTGACAGTTATTAAAATGGTAAGGAAGAATTCATTCAAGACTTACTATAGTGGTATTGCACGAAGGGAGAGAGACCAAGCCCAACTTGGAACAAAGCAAGAACAAGTGGGGATTTATGGCCAAGGAGCACAGTGAGGGGGCAGTGGATGGAAGATCCCTAAGAGGAGATACCAAGGTGGGGGTGGGGATTGTTGCTAACAGGATTTAACAGGATTCTTGCTGAAGGCAGGCAGGGATTGAGACATCAGAGGCGGGAATGAGGGACTTGATTAGATATCAAGTTTGGTCAGCCATCAAGAGTTGGAAGGATTCTCACTAAGCTGAAGACGGCCAGACTCTTGCCAAGACTGGGCTGGGCAGGCCAGAGACAGAGGGCACCAAAGTCAAGTCCTAGTCAAGAAACAGGCCCTGAGGAGCTGAGCTCAAGTTTCCTCAAGGAGAGAGTCTTTGCCATTCTTTTGGCCCACTGTTGTTGGTCCCTGGAACCTTATTGTCCCTCATCGGTGCCCTTTAACTTGCCCACACCTCTGCTCCTTTAATGGTTCTTTCGTTAAATTCGGCTGACTTTTGTCAGTGAAACTTTTTGAGCCAAGGGTTCTCCCTCTCCTGCCAGACCTCCTACTGGGCCTGCCTGCCCCATGGGGTTTTGAGGGTCAAACAAGATGATACATGCAAAAGCATGGTAAGGAAGTCATCTTTTTAAAAATATTTTTTTAGGGGTGCCTGGGTGGCGCAGTCAGTGAAGCGTCCGACTTCAGCCAGGTCACGATCTCGCAGTCCGTGAGTTCGAGCCCCGCGTCGGGCTCTGGGCTGATGGCTTGGAGCCTGGAGCCTGCTTCCGATTCTGTGTCTCCCTCTCTCTCTGCCCCTCCCCCGTTCATGCTCTGTCTCTCTCTGTCTCAAAAATAAATAAACAACGTTAAAAAAAATTATTTTTAATAAAAAATATATATATTTTTTAAATTTTGGGGCGCCTGGGTGGCTCAGTCAGTTAAGCCTCTGACTTTGGCTCAGGTCATGGTCTTGCACTCTGTGAGTTAGAGGCCCACATTGGGCTCTGACAGCTCAGAGCCTGGAGCCTGCTTTGGATTCTGTGTCTCCTTCTCTCTCTGCCCCTCTGCCTCTCATGCTCCCTTTCTCCCTATCTCTCTAAAAAATAAATAAACATTAAAAAAAAAAAACTTTAAAATACTTTTTTTATTTTGGGAAGAGCGCAAGGGGGGACGGGCAGGGAGAGGGGGCAGAGGGTCTGAAGCAGGCTCTGTGTTGACAGGCATGACTGCAACGAGTCCCATGTGGGGTTGGAACTCACAAACCATGTCCGACGTGATGCTCAACCGCTCAACCAATTGAGCCACCCGGGTGCCCCAGGAAGTCATCTTCATGATTGAGAGGAACCCTAGTCCAGTGCAAAGGGCAAAGGGCAGAGGCTTTGCGCTCAGTCCTGGGTTTAAACCTTGCCCCCCTGTCCCTTGTTAGCTGTGTTGTTGGAGGTGAGTGCCTAAGCCTCGAGTGTCATCAACTAGTCAAGGTAAGTAAATATCCCTCATATAGGCGGGAAGGATTGGCTACATGACCTATCCCAAGTTCCTAAAAGGTTCTCCAGCTCCTGGCAGGTACTAAATACGTTGTTCTTTCGCTACCTCTTCCCTCCACTCCTATCATGGAGTTGTTTTCTCAGACGGGTTTTGCAAAACCACTAACCGTATCCATGGCTTGTAAATGGGCTTCTCACCAAGCACTTGAGACCCTTTTCTCAATGCTCAGAGAGGCTGCCTCTCATTTAATGAAGAATAGCTTTGCTGCGGGCCAGAAATTTATGAAATTGCCCAGAACAAATGTTGCTCTGCTTTGTTACTGGCAATCTGTATGCAGCACAGATTACGTTTTTGTGTATTGTTTTCTTGAAAAATTTTTTCCATCAAAAAAGCAATACATACAGCAGTTTACAGAAGATGTTCAAGCAACATGGAAGTCTAATCAGTAAGAATGGCAAGTCCTTACAGCATCTTCTTTCGGATGCACATTTAGGGTGTTGGGGTTTCAAGGGCCCAGGAAGCAACATTCTTTCTAGCCTGAATCTTGAACCATTTAAGAATTAAGGTTAAGACAGATGAGGCCAGGGGCTCCTGAGTGTCTCAGGCAGTTAAGCATTGGACTCTTTGATTTCAGCTTGCAGGTTTGTGAGTTTGAGCCCCGCCTTGGGCTCTGTGCTGACAGTGTGGAGCCTGCTTGGGATTCTCCCTTTCTCTCTCTGCCCCTCTCCCCAGCTTGTGCTTTCTCTCTCAAAATAAATAAATAAACTTTAAAAAAAAATGTAAGACAGATGAGGCCAAATATCACTTTCATGGGTAATAAAGTCGATCTTGGAGAATGTGGCTTATACTTACAGGCAAGAGGGTTTTCTAGCACTGAACTGCAGAATTACATAGACCACCACCCTATCACTGGTGATACTGGCTCACAAGGGCAGAGTTGACCTGCAGTGACAGCCTGGCTACAGCAATCCAGTGACAGGCTCTCTGCAGGTGGGGGACCTGTCAAAGGCAAGGGAGGGAGGGGGGAGGTGCAGAACCTCATGCCAGTCCTTATCCTAAATGTGTGAATCACATAGAGCTCCCCCACCTGTGTGTGTGTGTGTGTGTGTGTGTGTGTGTGTGTGTGTGTGAGTGTGTGTGTCTGTGTTAGGGGGAGGGCGTTACTGAGCAGGTAGAGAAAGGTCAGGAGGGTTATACTCATGGCTGCACTCCTGGAGGAAGGAAATATCAAGGTGGGGCTAAGTGTTCCCCTTCCACATACATTATGTCCTGTTTTCTGGTCCTGTCACAGTGCTTCCACAAACATCCCTGCATATATTTCATTGAGTCTTTGAGTGAGTATTTCTGGGGCCAAAGTTCTTAAAAATGAGCTCATGTTCATGTATACTTTAGGCGGATACATACAGGGCATTTAGTGTGGAGCTGAGAGCTGAAAACATTTTTTCCCCTTTTATTTCTGCTGTGATTTACCAACTGTACCTTTATCAATAGCCTCTTTGGGTAGGGAAGGCTGCTAAGGGCTAGAATGTGTTGTTTTAAGAGCGAGCAGGTTAGCAATCCGACCAGAGGTCAGTCACAGAAAATCAGGGTTAGCTATGGAAGTGTATGCAGACCCAAGCTTTTCCATCTGAACTGCCGAGTCGCATGTACCTGGCAACAGCACTGTCTTCTGCATCCTCAATGCCCTTCTCAGTCAAATGGGCATAATATCGCTAAAGGGGTGTGGGGGGGTGGATTTCAAGGAGCTGATGTGTACTTAAAGTGCTGGGAGAAAGGGTAAGATAGGAGAGCCAAGAGGAAGGGAGTGGGCACCAGAGCAGAGAAAGAAAAACTTGAATCTAGACGAGCCATTTGAGGGTGCCTTGTACTGAGAGGCTAAAAGCCAGCCTCCAGGCCGTCTGGACACTCAGACTCAGGGTTGAGCAGGCTACTGGGAAGACCTGCCTGGTGCTTAAATAGCTTCTCAGGGACACCAGGAAGCCTCCAGGCGGTTCTCTTCAGCACAGCCACAGGGTCCCACTGGGTCTCACCTGGTCACCCAAACTTCCCCGGGGTGACGGCGCCCATGGGCGTGTAATGTCCTACAAGGAGCGTGCACAACTTTAATAATGAATGAAGAAACACAAAGTGAAAATCAGAAATAAAGTGCCAAGTAGCTGACCCACCCAGTAGATGCAAAGGCATTCACGGAGCACCCACTGTGCTATAACCCACAGAGCACAGGCACAACCTTCTTGTACCCCTAAGGTGGGTCTCGTTAGCCCTGAGACTCAACGAGGTAGCAGCAAGGTTGCGGCAGGGCTGCCCCAGAACTTCGAGAACTTCGAGAATGCTCTTTCCGGACTCGGGGGTGCTGCAGCGTGGAAGGCTAAGCCAGCATGCCCTCCCCCGGTCTCCTCCGCCCCCGGGGCGGCGCCCGCGCGCCCCGGCGCCCCCCCCCGCCCCCTCCCGCCTCCTCCCCAGCAGGCCCGCGCGCCGGCTCCCTGCCAGTAGCGCCAGGGTGGAGGAGCGCGGGCGGGCGGCGCGGCGTCCTTATCAATGGGCTGGGCGGCTTAGCGCGCTGCCACCTCTTCCGAGGAGAAGCAGTCCCGGGGCTCGCCGCGGCTTAGGTGGCCCTGCCATGGCTCCTCCGGCCGCGGCTGCCGGCCGGGGCGCGGGACCCTGCGGAGGACGCTGAGCCCCCGGGCCGGGGGTGCGCACAGGTGCGCGGCCGTCGAGGCGCCCACGGGGAGAGCGCGGGGCACCATGCGTCCCCGCCCGCTGCTGTTGCCGTTGCTGCTGCTGCTCGCCTGCGCTGAGCACACCGTGAGTACCGTGCCTCTCCGCGGATACCCTGCGTGGCGGGCGTGGAGGGGTCCGCAGATCTTCCTCGATGGAGTGGGAACTCTTAACACCCCGTCCCCAGCAAGGATCATCCCTGTCAGCTCCTCTCCCTATAGCCTTCTCTCCCAGGATAAAAACAGCAAATGAGTCGGGCAAAGGCAGCTGTAAGATAAACCCCCTCGGCCCCCCAAGCCACCCCTTCCTCCAGGCTGCACTTCGACGGAAACTCTGGAGGCGCCCCTGGCAGCGCCTAATGTGTTCTGGGCACCCTCCATCCATAGTTCATTGGAACCTTACAATCGGCTGATATTGTCACCCTCGCTTTAGGGTCTAGGAAACCGAGGCTCTCGGCGGCCAAAAATCTTGCCCCAGGAAAAGGCGATTGGAACCCACATCCGTCTGCCCCAAAGCCTTGACATTTACACACACACACACACACACACACACACACACACACGCACACGCACACGCACACGCACACCGGACTGCAGAAGGGAAAAACCTCAAAAAGCTGTGGCTGGAGCTTCCGGCTCTGTGGTGGGAGCATTCGCAGCTCCCTCCCTCTCCTGTGGGATTTGGCTCCCTAAAGTCTGCACGTCTGGGGAGTTCTGGGAGTAGCAGTCTCCGCAAACCCGGTCCAGGGAGGAGCTGGAAAAGAAAAGAGAAAGGCAGAGTGGGTGGCTTGTTTTCCTTTCCCACAGAAACTCCTGGGAATCCGGGGTCTCTCGCACTGGGATTTGTGAATGAGAGAGTGGCTGTACTCAGACAGGCTGGATGGAAGGAATAGGGAGGGGGTGCAGATTCCAGAACCACTTCTTCCTCCCAGCATTGCCAACTGGCCCTCAAGGCCTCTGTGCCAAGAAACTCCCCAGGAAAAGTGCTTGGGGACCCAATTCTGAGTCTCCAGTCTGTGTCCTGGGCAAGTCCTTCCTGGTATCCAACGACCTTGCCTTCTGTAGTCCTCTCCTGTTTGACTATAAGAAAAACCTTTGCTTCCAAAGCTGATGGGAGTGTTGATGCTCAGGAGATGCCCCCATCTTTCTGGCAGCTCTGTGACATTCCAGCAGCAGTAAGTTTGGAAGGGTGGAATTTGGGACTTTCGTTCCCCTCTCCCGTGTAACCGCGGAGCCTCTTCTCATCAGTGGCAGTGCTGGTACTGGAATATGCTAGAACAACAGTACCCACTCATTAATCTGAATTCCCAGTTTGAGGAAATGCCACCTGGGACACTGGGGACAATTCAAAGCCTCTAGGTATGTTGTTATAAAGAGCCCAGGGATGGGAGAGGCAACAGCTTCCTCCTTGTGACCTTTCCCACCTCCTTCTTAAGTATTTGCAGTAACCCTGAGGTTGTCAGAAGAAATCAACAGGTGTCTGGGCTTCAGGACCGAGGGTTAACTTTTTCATCTCAAAGGGACCCCTAGGGTGTGTCAAGAATAAGCGGTGGGGGAAATGAGTCTTCAGTGTGCCTTGGAAGGCTGCTTCCTTATGCTCTGGTCCGATTCCCTTATGGGACAGTTGAGCAAACTGAGACCCACAGAGAAAAGAGACCTGCCCCAAATCTGCAAGTTAGTGGTGGAGCTGGGACTAGAACCCAGATCTCTTGATTGTCACTCATCCAGGGCCCTCTCCCTTATGTCGTCTTAAATGTCCTTTTCATACACTCATGTACCGCCTTGTATTATTATAAGATGGTTTCCTGTGTGCAAGTCTTGGTCCTCCGGGTGTTTTCTGGGCTTATCCAGACCTGAGGTCTCATACTTCTTGGCAAGAACTCCTTTAATAAATAAGAATGGAGCTGACCTACTTTGGTTGGAGTATTTCCCAGGCTTTGAAACCCTGCTTACCTTCTGTTTTTTTTTTTTTTTTTTTTTTTTACTCTGAGTGGTCAGACATTTGATTTAGACATTTAAGGGCATTCAAACAATTTTTTTTATTCATTTGCCCCTCCCCCTTGAGGGAGATCATAGGCCTCTTCCTAATGGGCATTATTAGGCCAAATTGTTGATTGTCACTCCCCACCCCAGTCCCTCGCCTTGCCATACAGGGAGGTGTCAGGGGGATCCCTTGCAAATAGAAACCAGAAAGTGATGATGGTTGAAGGGACCAGTGTTCTGAGACCTCCATAGGACATGTGGGCCACACTCATCTTTGCTATCCCAGGCCCCGTGTATCTCATGAGGGCTTTTACCCGGAATGATATTGTCGTTATTTACTAGTGCATCTGTCCTCCTCCCCAGTACACACACCCGGAGATTTCGTTCTATTCACTCTCTGTCCCTAGAGCCACCCCAGTGTAAGGAGGAGCCCAACGAGTCTGTGTTGGTTGAGTGAATGGGTGAATGAATGAAGGAGTGAACGAATGAAACAGTGATACCCAAAAGGAGTGTCGTAAGCTGTGGCGCTTTCATATTAGCAGCGAGTAAGAAACAATGACGCCCTGAGGACAATTGTTGCTTGCAAAATTGTGCATAAGCGTGTCAAGCAAATAAAAAATAGTCATTCAAGGTCCGGTTTTTTAATCCGTGGCATCTGGCAAGCTGCCAACTTGATAACCTTAGTGAGTTAAAATCAAGCGAGGTTTCTTGACACCCCTAATCCCGGATACTAAAGCTGAGTTTTCGGCGAGGGGTACCAGGAAGGGGGCTATGCCCTCCCTCAGCATGGAGGAAGCGATAGGGTGGGAATAATGGAGACACGAGGGAGAGCGGGGAGCCCCCCAATTCTTTGTTGTGGGGGACTGGCCTATGCCTCGTATGCTGTCTCGCACCATCCCTGGCCTTTACCCACTAGAAGCCAGGAGCATCTCCAAGTTGTGCCAACAGAAAAATCTTTCCAGACACTGCCCAGTGTCCCCTGGGAGTCTGAGAGGGCAGAACTGCCTGCGGTCGAGAACCACTGCCTTGAAGGTTGTCCTGTTTCCGGGGAAACGCGTTAGCGGAACTACCAACAGGTGTTCATCGCGTGTTGGATTCGGGGCAGTGGGTTTGGTGACAGGGAACGTGGGCCGAAGACAGAACAGGTGTACCTGATGAAAACCCACTTCCCGACAAGCCTCGCACCGAGACTGGACTCGATCTTCTCCAGCCTCCCTCCCACTCTCCCTCCTGTCTCCATCCCGTCTCAGTTGATGGCTCAGAAACAGAAGTTGTGGCACACGGCGTTCCTGCATCCACAGGCTGACAAGCTCTGTGGCAAGCTGGGGAGCAGACTTGTAGGAAGGCCTGCAAGGGTCCTGAGGGCTCTGGCTATTGATAACTCCTCAGAGGAGGGTCCCTGGGGTTTTTTATGTACCTGAAAAATCACTTTCTCATTTTCTGGGGAAATATTTGTGGATTTCTTTTGAAATCTTTACTATCTCTAAAATTAACGTGAATGACGATGGTGATAACGGCTTGCCTTTTTTGAGCACGTACGTCACACCGGATACTCAGCCAAGTCCTCGCCAGCACGATCCAACGTCATTCCCACATCAACAATTGGAGCCTTTGGGGCCCCCGGGTGTCTCGGTCGGTCGATCGTTGGACTCTTGTGTTCAGCTCAGGTCATGATCTCATGGTTCGTGCATCGGCGCCCCACATCTGGCTCTGTGCTGACCCTATGGAGCCTGCTTGGGATTTTCTCTCTCTCCCTGCCCTTCTCCTGTTCATGCTCTTGTGCGTTCTCTCTCTCTCTCCAAATAAACTTAAAAAAAAATAACGATCATAACCTTCATTGTGCAGAGGCAGAAACAGGCTCAGAAAGAGGTGAAGCCATTTGTCAGGGTCGCCCAGTCAAACGTGATGTGAGGACCCAGCCCAGGGATTCCTAACCAGCACAGGCATCTGGTCCCAGAAAGAGGCCTGCACTGGTTTCTGGTGCCCAAGGGGCTGTCATAAAATTCTCTCCCAAGCCTATAAATGACTTTAATTCCAGTTTTATCTAATTGTGTTATAAAACATAAAACAAATATTGAATTACACACGGCATTTTATTCAGGCGGGTAGAGATGAGCTTGGGGTCACAAAACCAATCAAACAGGAGGTACACTTCTCAAACTGGTTAGGGGGGTTCCTTCAAGAGATTGCATACAAGAAGGGGAGGGGCAGAGAAAGAGAGAGAATCCCAAGCAGGCCCCCCAGTGCCAGCGAGAGCCCGAGGCTGAGCTTAAACCTAGAGATCATGACCTGAGCCGAAACCAAAAGTCAGCTGCTTAGCTGAGCCATCCAGGCACCCCTAGGAGGCTCCTTCTCTTAGCTTTGACATCACCTTTCTGCATTCCCATGGAGCCCATCTCCCTCCACCCTGTCCCCCAAATCTCTGGCCTATGACTTCCTTCATGCCATGGGAGGGCTCAGCTCTTTTCCTGGCACCCCTCGCTGACAGATCAGACTTCGTAACCAGCGTGAGAGTTCCCCGCCACAGTGGGACCCCCAATGTCCCTGATTTGCTCCTTGCTTCCCTGCCCTTAGCAAGCTGAGGTTCCTCACCACTGACCTTCACTGGGGCATTGGGACAGCCTGCAGCCCGAGGTAAAACCCACAACACTCAGATCCTATCGACTTGCTTACATTATAAACAGAGGGCTGCTGAGCATTCATGTGGACTCCAGAAAATAATAATATCCTGGTGCCCAGCCTCAGTATTCTGTGTCTGACCAATTCCAGAGGGCATTTGGGGAAGGGACACTCCTGCTTGGCCATGTCCTGCAATCCCAGCCCACTATACTGCCAGGGCTCCCAAGGTTTCCAATCTTCTCCAGAATCCCCACATGTCCAACATCAGTCCCTCCTCTGTGGGCTCTCCATGATGTCCATGGCTCATCTCATGTTCCTGACGTTACCAACCTCTTTCATTTTCAATGGACAGTCTTGCTTCCTATTTCCTGAAAGTCAGAGAATGAACTTACTCTGACCAACATCTTGCCCTCGTAGACGTGCCTAATTGTCTGCCACTCCCCACCCCTGCCCCATCCCCTTCCCTCCCATCTGTCTCAGTCGTCT